TCTGTGTCCTCATGGTTCCTGAAGGTCAGAGGTTGGCCAGTGTAGCCGGTTCTCAGCTCAGGGTTCCCCAAAGGCTGAAATACACTGTCAGCTGAGCATCGCCTGGCAGCTCTGGGATGAATCTGCCTGCAGGTCTGTCCAGGTTGGAGACAGGTTTCTACGTAGGTCTGTAAGACCAAGTTCTCCATTTCCTTGTTGGCCGTCCGCAACTGGAGGCTATTCTCAGCTCCTTTCCCCAGGTTCCCCTCCCATCTCCAACCCAGCAACGGCCATTATGTGATGAGGTTAGGCCCACACTGGTAATCTCCCTTCCTATTTTAGGGCCAATTCATCAGCAACTTTAACTATGCTGTCGAATGCCTTTTGCCCTGAACACAGCACGATTGTGGGAGAAACGCCAGGGAGCAGAGATCACAGGGTGTCTTAGAATTCTGTCACCCTGCCTGGGTGCTCAGTGCCAACTACACATTCATCACCAGAAGCATTTATAAAGTGCTGTGCCTGACCCTGATCAGACCTTAAGGACTCGGGACCCCAACAGGCAGGGGCCCTGGCAGCACTGAGAAACCTCGAATGGGAAAGTCACGCCTGAGCATCAGGGAAGCAGTGTGCTGTGGACAGAAACGCAGGAACAGAAACAATGAGTGGTACACTAATGACCCAAAGAAGAAAAGCCTGTCCCTGGTTGATCACAGGAAAAACAAACAATCTGACCTAAGGGAGAAGTGGGCACTCTCTCTGTTACCTCCAGACCCCAGTAGCTTTACTTGACTAGAATTCTGTTGCTGTAAATCCGGCAGTGTGCAGGACACCCACTAATTGTTGGCCGGTGTCTGGTGGGTCAGAAGTCCGGGGAGCCCTGCCCAGTTGTTCATGTCAGACGTCCAGGTGTCAGTCTGGCCAGGCTCTGCCCTGAAGGCCCTGGGAGGAAATCCACTCACAGGCGGACTCGTGGTGTTGGTGTATGACTCAGATTGACTCGCCAGTGTGGGCCACACAGTCCAGGGCACCGTAGGGCCTGGGAGCACAGCCAAGGTGCCACCTGCGGAAGTCAGGGTGGCTCTGCCTCATCATGCTTCCCAGTGGGTTGGAGGGTTGCCCCAGGACCACGCACTCATCATTGTTTCAGGTCAAGGTCCCTCGGCTGAGGCACAGCAGAAGGTCCAGCAAAATGCACACCGTCAGCCTGGCTGAGGTCTGAGGGCATCAGGACAGGCAGAAAAGGACAAGTCTGTTCACTTCACAACTGCTGGGGCCCCCACGGCACTTCCTGGGTGTCACAGGACCTCGGCGCTCCAAGGCTTTCATGCTGGGAAGTCCTGGTTTCCTCTCTGGCCGCCAGCACCTCCTCACACGTCGCTTTCACCTTCAGATCCACCGAGGGCGTGGGTTGTTATGCTTCAAAGGAGACTCTCAACTTTTACGGGTTTATGGGTGATTGCCCCTTTGTCACACTTGGGAGCAAGTGCACAGGGTGAAGGGCACTGGGCGTCATCTTAGAAGTCTGCTCTTCTATCCACCATCTCAGTTTCTGCTCCTTTAGAAGGTTTCCTGGTAATGACCTTAAGAGATGGAAACCTCTATGTCACACCCCTGAGAGGGAAGGGAAAGCAGATGAAGAGAGTCTGGGGGTTCCATGGGTAGGGGTGGGGTGGGGATGCAGCTGAAGGAACGGCCAGCACCAGACCCATAGGGAGGAGCCTGCGGGGCCTTCTTGGAGTCTGGCTTTTTCCAAAAAGGCCCAAAGGAATCTGAGTTGAGTGGACTGTCTGGAAGGGTCTCCTTTTGATAAGATGGCTCTATGCAGACCCCTCCCCACAGTGCAGGCCTGTTTACTGCCCGACTTCATGTGGGGTGACCCATGCCTGCTCATCTAACCCTCGGTGCTGCTGTACAGAGCAGCCACCTGGCGTTACTTAAACTCCAACTGAGACATCCCTAAGGCCATGCCCTTTGAGCCTGGTGAGATAAACACATGAGTCCTCACCTTCTCCAGGTGAGCTGAACCATTACCTCTCCCACCTTCCTGCTAAGACTGCACCCCTACACCTGACATCATTCCCAATCCTCTTTCCTGGTTTTATGTTTCTCCCTAGCACATTCCATCTTCCAATCTGGTACATATTTCACATTTAAATTTTAATTAATTGTCATTCCCATGAGAACGTAGTTTCCACAGGAGCAGAGGTGTCGCCTGTTTCATTCACAGATGACTTACCAGCAGTTAAATATTATGTGGCACCAACCTGGCATCTCGATAAAGACCCACTGAATTAATATAAGGAGGATTCTGATCTAACCTATCACACTATACTTTGGTAAAAAGAAATCATTTTCAGTCAAAATTACATGGTTATCGGTTTTTTAAAAGATGGTTTTTGAACCGTTTTGAGTTTTCTACAGTTTATTTCTGGCTTTCCAAGTCGGAGAGAATAAGCTTTAAAGGGCTGTCTTAGACAAACAGGTCTAGACAGAGGATATTTTTTGAAGAGTAGATAAATCAGACACATATGATTTGTATTTCTCTCTAAGTTTACAGAGATTTAACAATGAATGAAAGATACTCTTCAGGCAAAATAAGTTTGGGCTTCATCCAATGTGAGATGCTCTGAAAACAAGTTCAAGATGTTCACAAAAGAAAACAAAGGAAAGAAAGCAAGACAGCAAGTAACGTCATTGTCACTCTCATGACTGGAAATATCTTGTCTAACCCTCTTGTCTAACCCTAATTACAATGACCTTCTGCATTCAAGGGCCGATTCCTTCTGAAACTTTTAATATTCTTTTCATAACCATCCCAGCATGTCCCTCACCCATTTCTGTAAAACAAGAAGTGATACTGCCACTGACCCACCTGACTTCGTGGGGCTCACCGCCGTCAGACCTTGTGCCTGGCTGACGAGTCCTACCCGGCTTCCTCTTTGGCCACCAGGTCCACCTCCCTCACCCTGAAAACCCCCGTAACCAGCTTTCATCCCCGACTCCTGTCCTGTGCAGGGTGTCTGACCCTTGAGAAAGGGCGGAGGCAGACAGTGACAGAGGAGCCAAGAGGACAACAGGCCAGAAGCACATTTGCACCAGGGGGGCCTCTGTTGTTGGTCATGACCCTGATTTTTTCTTTACATTTTTAACAGAAAATGAAGAGACTCAGATACAGGCCACTTTTTTCTTGGGTGCAGTCTGCGCTGGAGACACTGACTGGTGCTGCACAGAGAACCTGGCTCTGCCTGGCCCTCTGGGCTGACTCTCAGCCGAGGCCCGGTCTTCTTGCTCCTCAAAGCTGGACATTGGGAAAGGACTGTTGTGGTGCGAACAGTTTCAGGATTTGTAGAAAAATAGGGTAAATATGTGGGGGAGGGAGCTGGATAAGGAGAGTGAAGGAGGTGGCAGTTTTAAAGAGGACACCTACTTAACATGAAGGTAAAACAGTTCAACTTTCAGAAGAAAACATAGAACGATGTGTCATGACCATGGAACAAAGATTTCTTAAACAGAAACAAAATGCACTAATCATCAGAGAAGAGACTAATAAATTGGACTTAATTAAAATGAAGAATTGTGCTTAGAGGAAAAGTGAAAATTCAACCACCCTGGGAGATGATATTGTCTATTTGACTAAGGACCTGTGTGCAGAATGTAAAAAGAATCCCTGAAAGCAACAAGCAAAGAAAGACAATCTGATTCTAAAAATGGGCAAAGGCCTGAGCAGGCATCTAAGGAAAGACAGCGGGACGTCCAAGGAGCACAAGAGAAGAGCCCGACTTCACCTGCCAGCAGGGAAAGCAAGCCATAGCCCAATAAGACCTCTCGTCACACATGCCCCAGTGACTGGGAGCAACAAAACCAACAGCAGCAAGTGCTGCGGAGAAAGTAGAGAAAACATAAATCACACAAGTCATTGGTGGGTGATAACACTGTACAATTGCTTTGGAAATCTGTCCGGCATGGTCTACCATGCTGTAACACACATACATCCTGTGGCCCACCTGGTCCATTTCTAGGTATACACCCAGAAGGAATGGACACATGTGGGTTCTGAGAGGCGTTACAAGAACATACCAACAGAACATACCAGATTTGTAAGAGCCCCAGACTGGAAGTCACTCACCTGCTCATCGACAACAGAACGGGTAAGTAAACAATTATGTGATCATACCATAGGTTACTATTGGAGAAGGAAATGAATAAACCCTACTCACAGGCAACAACACAGGTAAATCTCAACAATTTAAAAACACAGATGGAAATACTACAGGTTTTAATTCCATTTATATAAAGTTCAAATGCAGGCAAAATGGATATGGCATTTAGGGACCCAAAATTTTATAGAAAGCCAGCAGGAATAGAACTAGGGACAGAGTCACCTGTGGAGGTCATGGGGGCTACGACGGGAAAGTCACATGAGTGGTGTGGGCTCAGCTGTGCTCCGCTCCTGGACGTGACTCTATGGGTTTTCACGTCCACAGTCATTCAATAAACTACGATTTACACATTTTTATCTTTGTGTATGACATTCCCTTATAAAAAACCAAACTTATATCAAGTATTCCTTCCCTGTTCAACCTCCACAGAAAACAAAAACGGAAACTCTCCAACTAAATATGAGCAATTCCTAACTTCAGAAGAGACTGAAGGCCCACCATGTGCGGCCTTTGTGTGAATCAGGAAAAGGCATCATCTTTTGAAGATGATTTAGTGAAAGCTGCCTCCTTGGGCAAAGCAGCCAGTCGGGAGCACTGCTGGGGGTTTATTCGGCCTCTGAGCAAATAAAGGGTCCCCTACCCTAGGGGACGCAGGCCCACAGTGAAGTCATGTCTTCTGAAAGTTGTGATGGGTCCTCGGGGTCCTACCCTGCCCCCACCCCCACCCCGCCAGCAGCCCTGCCTGGGAGAAGAGAGCCGACACCAACAGGCACACGGGCCCGCCCAGGCCGGTGCACACACAGGACACAGGCTGTCACCCGCCCAAGCCCGCTGGACGCTGGCAGCCCCCAGCCTTACCGCATAGCCCTCTGTCTTCCTCTGGCACCACCTGAGGAGAGCGTTGCGCTTGGAGCCGCCGTATTCCCGGGCCAGGGCCGCCAGGGGGTCTCTTCTTTCCACACTAGTTAGAAAGCGGAGATGCTGACGTTTAGAGCCCACAAATACACAGGAAATAACTAACTAGATGAGAAAAGCAAAAGTTGAGGTCTGTCCAACGAGACTCTAAAGAAATTGCCCACCAGTCCCATTAACATCACATTTTTATTACATTTCATGGTATGAAGTAGAAAGGGAACTGTGCTTCCTGGCTTTCAGGACTCTGGTGAGGGTTTTTTTTTTAAATCCATCTGCTGCTCTATCCTTCTAACCTTTTATTTATTAAGTACATCATCATTTAAAGTAAAGACACCTATAGAAAACAGTACATGTTCCAAAGCTATACCTATTTCTATGTAACATACACAAGGTATACTGGAAGAGCATTTTAAGAACACCAGACTAATTGCTTATGGGAGGTGATGGGAATGGAGTTTATATGGTCAGCGTCACCATTAACAATGAAGTTATTGTGACTTTGCAAGTGTTCACTATGCCTGGTCTTAATTTATCACTGACAGCCAAATTTCTAGGCACGACAAATTAGGGAAGACTAAAACGAAGGCTTGGAAAAGAATTTCTCAATAAACGAAACATTTACCAGTTTTCTTTAAAAAAAAAAAGAAAGAAAAAAAATAGACATGACTGTAATGATAATAATATGAAAATTACCAAAGTAAATTTCTATTCTATTATTGGCTTGTCTCAATGACATGAATAAAAAAATGAAATAATAAACTAACCTCACTAATCTAACCTTTTACGATGAAGGTATAATATAAATAGCATGGAAACATATACATAGTCTGTTTGTATGCATTTCTGGTTCAAAGAAAAGAATAAAAAAATATATAAAAAATATATTAAAAATTTTTTAAAAATTAAAAAAAAAAAGAAAAGAATAATTTTGGGATAGCACTAATTCTGGTCCTGAAAACCTGTTTTGATTATTTAAATCCCCTCCACATAAACAAGACAGAAATGTAACAACTTGGGCTTTAAATTAAACCTCTGAAAGATATGACTTCATATATTTGGGTCCAGAAACAGACCACACCCAAAGATTTGACAATGGCTGAACTGAGGTATTCAGGCTTTTATAAAACCCTTTTCTAATACTCATAATGGTAGTTCTAATGTTTGTTAAAAAGCCATTACTCCTCAAGTAGCCAATTTTGTGCATTTATCCACCTGCCTATTCGTAAATATTTACTGAGTGAGCAGCCCTGTGCAGCACAACACGAGGGGCTGAGGAGAGATCCAAGCGTCAGGATGAAGTATTTGCTGTCCACTAAATTACAGCCCAAGTGAGGACAAAAGCACACACAGTGCACAGCAGGGAATTAAATACAAATGTAGGTAAAAAAAAAACAAAACAAATGGAGGTCAGACAGCACAGGCAGAAAAGGGGGTGTCCGTGCTACTGGGGGTGGGCTGCAACCTCAGGGGAGGGCGGACCGAGGAGGAGAAGCATGAAGTGATAAGAAGGAAGACAGTTCTGGCCCAAGCCTTGTAAGACATCATAATAGCTGGTGTGATGCTGCAAAGGTGGGAGGTACAGACTCTGATGGGTACCTGAGTTTGCTCTGTGGCTTCCAGCCCCCAGGGGAGGCGCCCAGCAGCCTGGAGCCTGCGAAGCCCAGAGAAGGGGGTCTGCTCAGGGACTCAAGAGACGGACTCTTGCGGAGATAAGGGTTTGGCTTCAGGTCCTCAGCTCTTCCCTTCAGGAGATCTGTGGGGACAACACGATTATTGTCCTGGAGGAGGAGAGACCCGGAAGGTCACACTGTCCAGTACACTCAGTCCTCACATCAGTGTCATGTACAAGCACACAACAGGTACCGAGTCACTGTGCAGCACCCCTGAAACCAGCACACACTGTACACCAGCTACACTCCACTAAAACTGTATAAAAGAACACACAACAGACACTCAATCACTGTGCAGCACCCCTGAAACCAAGACAACACTGCAAATCATCTGTGTGTGCTGGGTCACTTCAGCCATGTCCGACTCTTCACGACGCCATGGACTGTAGTCCTCCAGGCTCCTCTGTCCATGGGATTCTCCAGGCAATAATACAGGAGTGGGTTGCCATGCCCTACTACAGGGGATCTTCCTGACCCAGGGATTGAACCCATGTCTCTTGTCTCCTGCATTGTTGGCGGGCTGGTTCTTTACCACTAGTGCCACCTGGGAAGATCAACTCTACTCCAGTAAAACTATAAAATAAACCACACCCCAGATTCAGATAGATACACAGATAACATGTTCTGGACTGGGTGATAAAAATGCGAAGAGGGACATGGTGTTTTCTAGAAAGGACTCTCCAGGCAGGATCGGCTCCATGGTTCACAGGGACCAATGCCAAGCTGCCCTTGTTCAACAGTTACTCTGAGCTTCAGGATGGCACCAGCAGCGCACTGACCAGAGGCTCTGCTCCCAAGAGCCTCCGCAGGTACACAGGGCGTCAGGGCCACCAGACCAGCCTGGCCCCAGGAAAAGCCCATGTTCTATCTATGGGCACTTGGCAGAGGGTGTGGCAGGAAGACGCCTGATAGGTCATCAGGTGGAAATGCTGGGCACCAGGAATGAGGCCCACTTCACAGGACAGGACACCATGCCAGCCACAGGGCCTGCTCTCTAGGAATCAGTGAGAACATTTCTTCTGAGGCTCAACAGCTAAGGAAACAGGCTGAACTCCCTCGAGGCTATTTCCTAGAGGACCACTGAGGTGCAGATCGGGAGAAGACTCCTGCAACTGTCTAGCTGGACATACAGACGACTCGGGAGTGGGAACCTGGTCACTTGCTCGATGCCACAAGCAGCCAACGACCAGGCCAAGCCCACGGTCCCCTCCTTCGACGCCATAAACAGTGGGGAAAACACTTGTACAGCCATTAGCATCAATTATGGTGGTCAGGTTGGGAGTGTGGCTAATGAGCTGGGAAGAGCAGAGAATCACAGCATTTACATCACTAAAGGGAACAACAAAAAACAGTGCATTAACCCCAGGTCCTGCAGCTTCTAGGGACATGATGCTGCATGGCTGGCTGGAAAGCTGGCAATTTCCAGGGTGCGGGCCTTTCCAAGCCAAGTAAACCATCTTGCAGGTGGAGAGGCACCTGTGGGGCGGGGAGAGGAAAGAGAGAAAGAGGGGAGCTGAGGATGAGTTACTACTTCCGGGCAATCTCAGTGTCAGTATTTATCTTGTCAATGAAAAGAACGGTTTCTCTACAAAAGGGAAATTCTAAAGCTGGAGGAACAGAGATGTCAATACTAACAATAAAAGATCACCTAACACACTTAGAAACAGTTCAGATGGTAAACCTGTTACAGGTATTTTGTGTGTGTGTGTGTGTATAGTCCCTCAGTTGTGTCCCACTCTTTGCAACCTCATGGATGGTAGCCCAGCAGGCTCCTCTATCCATGGGACTTCCCAGCAAGAATACTAGAGTGGGTTACTATGGCCTCCTCCAGGGATCTTGCTGACCCAGGGATTGAACCCACGTCTCCTGCACTGGCAGGCGGATTCTTTAGCATTGAGCCATCTGAGAAGCCACAGATATTTTATCACAATTTTAAAAAATAACACGGGCAGCATTGCACTTATAACGGAGTTATTCCTACTCCACATCATGTAGCAAGTGTGAAGAACTCAACATGGATGCCCCCCTGGATTCCTTACTCCTCTGACCCTGGACTACCCATGGTCTCTGGTCACCACTTCCCTCTTCCTAGGAGTCATTATGACAACCCAAAGTCCTATATGAACCGTGCACACTTCTTTATGAAGTTGCTAACTGGAGTGATCACCAGCCTCGTCACCAGAAGGCAACATGGCAAAAAGAGTCAGGGAAAGTCCTTCCTGTCCCTGAGCTCCTCACAAGCAGTGTGGCTCTTGTAAACTGATTAAGCTCTTTAGGGCCTGAGCCTCTCACCTGTAAAATGCAAGGAATGGGCCAAGGTCATCTTTAAATTCTCAATGTCAGTGTTTATCTAAGGCTAAAATAAAATCTTATTAAGTCTAAGAAAACAGAAAAAAAAATTCAGAAGGGAAAAAAATAAGTTGGTGAGGTGAAAGAGTTTACAGTCACAGAAACAAATGTTTTACGGATAAATCTGTGCTCGACCATGATCAAAAATGAGAAGCGTGGGGTTTCCTTTTTTATTCAGTGTCACAGAAACTGTTTTACATTAGAAATAAAGGATTTCTCTCTATGTGGTCTAGGTTTCTGGCTTTCTCTCTTTCTTCCCTGGATTGCAAGATCAAACCAGTCAATCCTAAAGGAAGTCAACCCTGAATATTCATTGGAAGGACTGGTGCTGAAGCTGAGGCATACTTTGACCAGCTGATGTGAAGACCCGACTTATTGAAAAAGATCCTCATGCTGGGAAAGACTGAGGGCAGGAGGAGAAGGGGGTGACAGAGGATGAGATGACATCATCAACTCAATGGACATGAGTTTGAGTAAACTCTGGGAGATGGTAAAGGACAGGGAAACCTGGCGTGCTGAAGTCCATGGTGTCAAAAGAGCCGGACACAACTTAGCGACTGAACAACAACTCCTTCTTCCAGGCACGAAGAACCAGGTAGTTCAGTGTTCTTTCCATGTTTCCTCACAGCAATGACCTCACACACAAGTATCTATCTCCCAGTGCACATTCTAGACGATGGCAACCCCGGCCAAGGCCTTGGGGCTCTGGCAGGTGGCAAAAGTCAGTCCCTGCAAGGCTCTGGCACCAGCCTGGCTGAGTTCACTCAATCCTCCAAGCCATCCCAGAGGTGGACCACAGGATTTCTGTCTCAGAGACAAGGGAACCACAGCACCCGGGGCTGGGATTACCAGGCCAGAGCCAGATTGTAAGTGGCGGGGCCAAGGTTGAAGTCCGTGCTGTCTGCCCCAGTCCCCCATCCACGGCTCCTTCACATCAGCCATCAGCATGGCAGGTACAGAAGGAACAAAAATGGGACACGTGAGGCCTGCCGACACAGCAGTGCTTCATCATGGGGATTTAAATTTTTCAAAACAAGGCATAGCAACAGGAAAAGGTCTACATTCAAAGACAAAGATCTCAGGCATATATTAGGAATTACGGGAGCAACAGACCTTCAGAATCAGATAAGAGTTTTTTCTCAAAATAGTTACTTTTAAAGATGAGATATGCTCTTGGGATTTAGTAAAACAAGCAAAAGACCTGCAGAGCCTGACATTTCTCCCAGACTCAGGCACCCTACAGCCAGCAGGACACAGCTGGGATCTCACGGCCATAATACACATATTCAGAGTTTGAATCATTTGCAACAAACGCCCCTGATTCTTTTTCTAACCTCAGTTTCATGCAAAGGAGAAAAGAAAAGTTAACCTTACAACACACAAGTCAAAAGCACTTTCTATTTAACTCTTTAGTGACTGGGGGATTTTCGTAGAAACTAATGCCTGTGGCGGGCGATTTGTTATGTAAGTGAATATTGAAACACTCAGGTCAATAACATTTGGGTAACAAAAGGTGTATTAATATGTCTCTGGCCAATAATGTGTTACAGTGATTTACCTGAGAGGGGAAGGTCTGGGAGATCCAAGTGCTGAGTCACTCCTTTGCTGGCTGGCCGAGCACCGCTGAAGGCAGAATGTCTCTGAAACCAAAGGGCATCACACAGGTCACACCAGGAACAAGTGGTGTGTGTATGTGCTTCTGTGTGTACATACAACAGTTCTCAAGCTCATTAGAATCACCAGGGGGGGCCTTTTAAAACAAGCGCTTTAAGTGGACAGGTAATAAATGCAATTGGTGTGCATGCATGCAAGCTTGCTCAGTCATGTCCGAATCTTTGCAACCCCATGGATGGTAGCCTGCCAGGCTCCTCTGTTCTTGGGATTCTCCAGGCAAGAATATGGGGTGGGCTGAGATGCAACTGGCAGGATTCTCAAAAGGAACAGAAAGGACACAGAGTGAAAGCACAGTCTCCCTTTCACTCCCATCACCTCATTCTCCCCAGGGCAACTATTACTCATCACATCTGTGAACATCTTCCTGGAATATTCTATGTATATTCAAGGATGTGTGTAAACATACTGTTTTTTAATGGCCAACAGGCACATGCAAAGATGTTCTGTATCACTAGTCATTAGGAAAATGCAAATCAAAACCACAATGAGGTATCACCTCACCCCTGTGAGGATGGTCATTGCAGAAAACAACCATAGAAAAAACAAGCATTGGTGAGGATGTGAGAAATTAGAACACTTGTGTACTGTTGGTGGGAATGTAAAACCATGCAGGTGATATGGAAAACAGCAGGAAGGTTCCTCAAAAACATAAAAACAGAACTACCATGTAATCCAGCAATATCACTTCTGGGTGGTTACCCAAGGAACACAAAACAGGGTCTTGAAGGGATATTTGCATGCCCATGTTCACTGTAGCATTATTCACATTAGCCAAGACATGGCAACAACCTCAATGTCTATTAACAGATGAATGGATAAAGAAATCGGCAATGATGGCAACACTGACATCAGAGAAACTGGGAAACACCACAAATCAGGGCTCTTTCTCCTAAACAGCCAGTTGTTAAACTTCTACCAGCAAATTTGTGTTATAGCTCAATACAAATAGGTGAAAGTAAAGCATGACCTCGTTCACTTGTATTAAATAAACAATGATTATCATAAAAAATAAATAACTTGTATTTGGTTTTACATAGAAGGTGGAGAAATTACTTTCAAGGATGAAAAAGTAAAAAAAAAAAATAAAATTTTTCTTTTAAAGCATAAGAGATTCCAAACAATAGACGTAACTACCAAAGATGTCAGACAACAGAGCTCGCTGACAAGTACATCAACCTCAGCTTCATAGGGGCAGAACGTTGAGTGCTCCTAGTGACATCAAAAGCCCTGGTCTTAGAAATGCCAGGGGGTTTTGGTCTAAGACCTTTAGGAGATGGCAAACACAACATTGGGTTACATGCAGTGAACCCTTAAGAATTTATAAATTGCAAGCACTCTCTCTGGGCATTTAAAAAAAAATTCTTTGAGAAAAAGATCAATGTCCACTCTAGTGTAAAAAATACAATCTTCACTTAACTGAAAACTTTGACAGTGTCATCTTATGGAAAACCAAGAAAGAGGCATCAACAAAACTGTATGATCCTTACAGCGTCTCTCTTAGACCCTCACCAGGCACTGGAGCAGAATTTTTGATGAAAGCTTCATTATTATTATTTTAGGCCTATTAAAAACAATATTCAGAAACTTCCCTGGCAGTCCAGTGACTAAGACTCCTCACTACCACTGCAGGGGGCCTGGGTTTGATCCCTGGTCAGGAAACTAAGATCCCACATGCCACGTGGCATGGAAAAAATTGATAAATAAATAAACAAAATAGATGATCAATGCACCTCAAAAAATAAACAAACTGGTTTCCACATCCCTTTTGTTGCCTGGGTAACGTGACACAGGCTCCCACCCACACCCTGTGAGCACCAATACCTGCATTGGAGAAACAGCGGCAGCTGGGGGCGTCCTCACAGGGATCCCACTCAGGGGACTCCGGGGGGTCTTGGGGACAGAAATATTCTGCCCAGCTCCACCTGCCAAGAAAAGGGGCAGGATGTTTCTATGCTGTTCCAGTTTGAAACAGCAAATAATACTTCCTGCCTTGTTGATGCTCTTTCACCCTCTTCTGGTCTGGACTCATGCTGAACTGGGGAGTGAGTCGGGGGTTAACTAGATGGGGGCTGGTCTTAGACAAGGACACACAAGGAGCAGGAGAACGTACAGGTACTGAGGCAGCCACAGCAAGAACACATTCTTACACAAACTACACTGTTCTTTCCTTTTCCACCTTCACAACCAAATCTTGTCACCGGGCCTTCATATCCTCCTGTCTGCAGGCTCATCTTAATCCAATTCAGCTGCAAACTGTTTCAGCAAAGACAACGTCCTAGGACTGGCTGTTACTCTGGCCCCTGGTACAATGAACATATTTGTTGCTATCAAGGGAAGACATTCATCGTGTTTTGGATACAGATTCCTTCTAAGAACAGTGCTCATGAAAGTTCAGCATAGACAAGGTAGAGATCCATTTTTATCATATGCAGATAATGGCAAACAAAAGTGAGCTGTGGGTCAGGGAGACATTTCCAGAAAAAGCTGGGAATGTCCCACGATCAGGAATGACAGATTGTATTAGGTGCCAGCCAGACAGCCCAATGCATGGAACCAGCGCCTCCTTTCCTGGGAGACAAGCCTCTGGCTAACCCTGCTAATCCTCATGAGATGGTAAGAAGGCAACAGTGGTCATCTGGATTTAATGGACAGAGAGGAAGAAAAGGAAAGGGGTGTGGCAGGAGCTGAAGGGAAGTTTAGGAGGAGAGGCAAGACAACTCCCCTCTGTTGTCTCATGCAGCCCCAGCGAGCACTGCACAAGGTGTCTGCACGTGGATAGTCTGAGATGGGCCCCCTGGTTGCACCAACGTGGGGCCAGCGCAGCAGAGGACAGGCTAGATCCATGACACTATGGTCTGAATTTGAGTTTTGCCTATCAAACAAAATGACAGAATACCTGGTCGTCCCAAGTCAAATGACTTGATGAGGGACTTCACGGTGGTTGCAGACTCTGAAGGTGTTGGAGGAGTCCTGTTCATATAGACGCTGGGCCACCGGCCAGGAGCATCTGCCTCCGAGGGCGCGGGCTCTTCCTTCACTGGTCTGCATGGCAAAGAGCAAATCAGGTTGAAAAGCTGGAGGACATACCCATTCGGGGAAGGACAAAGATGGAAACAGCCAATGTGGAGAAGAAGAATGAATCTGGGATGAGAAACCCAAACTGAAAATCCTGCTCTCTGTATTAGCTTTGCATCTCCAGGAAATAACCACTCAACTTTTATCAGAGGCATTTTCTCGGGAGTGGCCAGAGACGGCATTTTCATATATGGAGTGACTTGACATGGGCTCTAAATGAAAAGGATGTACGTCTACTCTGTAAACTATAAACATACAAAAAAACCAAATGTTATTTATCATGAAATAGTTATCTTACTGTCCACAGTGGACACAACAGGTTGGTGAATTCGTGTGAATTCCAACCCCCACCTGGTACACAGAGGCTGGAAAGATGACACCTCAGGAGCCCAACCCCTGCAGGGAGGATCTCAGATAAAGGCTTAGACCCCACCGGCCAGGAAGACTGGGCCGGATGTAGACTCCTGAGTTGGGGAGGAGAGGCAGGGCACAGGGCATTCACTACACTGAGATGGAAAGAAGCAGAGACAAGGTGCTCCTGCTGCTGGAAACTGGTGGCAGCTTCGGATTGGGCCGGCAGCTTCCTGGTGTCAAGTTCCCATTCAGGGCAGAGGCAGCCACTCACCTAGAAACCCAGCTGTGTGTGGGAACTTCCAGAGTTGTTACTGGAGGCTAGGCCTGGGTCTGTTTCTCCACAGGGGCCCCCAGCAATCCTGCAAGCCACTTCTGTTTAAACTCACAAGGCTGCCATCTCTCAGGAACATTAGAGTCCTGACTCACATGTGAACCCTCCCACCCCTAGGAACAGGAATGGTAACCGTGCTCTAGAACAATACCACAACTCCCTGTGAGGCAGTGGTTCTCCTGAGCTCTCCTGCACAATTGCGGTCAGTCTTCCCTGTGGTCTCCAAGCTGGAGCACAGACTCACAGACTGTTGTTTAGTTGCTCAGTTGCGTCCAACTCTTTGTGACCCCATGGACTGTAGCCCACCAGGCTCCCCTGTCCATGGGATTTCCCACCCAAGAATCCTGGAGTGGGTTGCCATTTCCTCCTCCAGGGGATCTTCCTGACCCAGGGATCGAACCCAGGTTTCCTGCATTGCAGTCAAACTCTTTACCACTGAGCTACCAGGGAAGACCCCAGACTCATGGAAGAGCCTCTTAAAACAGACCATTTGGGTCAACCTTCCTCATCCAGGGGACGTTAGCTTGTCACTTAATCTCCCTGTGAGTGAGCCAAGACATCGCCCAACTTCTGATTTCTAAATCACTGCTCTTTTTATTATATCAAATTGCTACAGCTGTTTTGCAAGAAGATGACTAATTTATGAGAATAGCTCAAACAGAATACTTCTGGCAGCATATTTTAATAAGGTTAATGGAAGTTTAAAATATTTATTTACTGATCTTTTTTGGAAGAAATCTGACTACTCAGAAGCTTCCATGGTTGAACTGACTTGTCTTTGATTCTCAAAGCTTTCTCCTGTTGCTCTGTTATCAACATGAGGAGGATAAATTTTGGAAAAACAGAACTTAAAACACACTTTAAATCACACTGCCCTACAATTTTGTATTTACCTTCTTTTGAGGTAAAAAAAAAAAAATCAGTAACAAATGACTTTTCTGGGAAGTTAGTATCAGGGAGTCATGTATGGATGTGAGATTAAAGAAGGCTGAGTGCCGAAGAATTGATGCTTTCATATTCTGGTGCTGGAGAAGACTCTTGAGAGTCCCTTGGACTGCAAGGAGATCAAACCAGTCAGTCCTAAAGGAAATCAGTCCTGAATATTCATTGGAAGGACTGGTGCTGAAGCTCCAATACTTTGACCACCTGATGTGAAGAGCCAACACACTGGAAAAGATCCTGATGCTGGGAAAGATTGAGGGCAGGAGGAGAAGGGGGCGGCAGAGAACAAGACAGTTGGATGGCATCACCAACTCAATGGACATGAGTTTGAACAAGCTCTGGGAGATAGTGAAGGACAGGGAAGCCTGGAGTGCTGCAGTCCATGCGGCTGCACAGTTGGATATGACTGAGCAACTGAACAACATCAAGTGTTTCAGAAACTGGTAGGTTTGTTTGTTTTTTTTTTACATTGAATAGGGTTGGTTTGGGTTACTTTCCCTGTTATGTCACATAGGACAAAATCAGATGGTGAATATGCAGAAAGACTGGAATCAGGTTAGGTACAGGCAGAGGAAAACCTCTCATTTCTGTCCTGGGCATTCTTAGGAATGTGAGAAAGTGGGCACCTTCTTAGCCATCCAGGTACATGATATCTGCCTCCTCAGGGACTGGGGAGATTTAGGGCACACGACAAAGGAAGGTCGTTTTAAAAAGCCCATGTTCATTTCACTCCTTGATAATTTAATAAGAATAAAACGGGGAATCCAACATTCTGCTGAGGTGTTCCCTTCAACTACTTAAGCTTCTATGTGATTCACAACATCAGATGATACAGGACTCGTTTCGAAGCCTAAGAGAGTAGCAAGGATGCTGGAACCACTCCCACCTCGCCTGCCTGCAGGTATGATGGGCAACGCTCCACACCTTCCATCTGCTGGGCTGGGCCAGCAAGAAGTAGGGTGAGGAAACCCTGCAAGGGGTTTAAGTAGATTAGAGATGCTATGAGACTAAAGACCCACCCCATTATGTAACCGCTATATGTGTGCATTTGCACATGTATGCATGCGTGTGGGTGTGTGCATGTGTGAGTGTGTCTTCGGAGCCACAAAGCAAAGCCTGAAATGAAGAACTAAAGAACACAAGTCATTAAGAATGCTGTTGATCTCATCAGTACTTTAATCCTAAGCAGGGACACCAGCCTGTCATCAGATGGTTTTGGATCAACCAGCAACAAGCCCAGCAATAAACAAAGTATGACCTCTCCTCTGTTCAGAGGAAGAGTAAGAACTCTGTAATCTACAGAAGCAGGCAGATTCTTCACTGCTGAGCCACCTGGGAAGTATTCTTGCCTGGGAAATCCCATGGACAGAGGAGCCTGGTGGGCTACAGTCCACAGGGTCACAAAGAGTCGGACACAACTGAGGACTGAGCAACCTCCCTAATGCACTACTTTCCTTGTTAGGTTATGGAACAGGATCTTAAAGCACTGTTGGTTTTCTACAGCTCTGTGTCATCACACAGGACACTGCTTGGCGTTGTTGTCAGTTTTGCTTCAAGGACATGTGAGTTCTTGTGTGCAATTAGTTCTAAAATATTTAAATGTTAATGACTTTTGGGAAACATCGCATTATATCACTGCTGTCTTCACAATCACCTGATCAAGGTTTGTAAAGAAGACCAACTGGGCACATTGATGATCTGCTCCTGATGGCTCTTTTCTCAGCTACTGAACAGAGCCCAGCCCAGGCCCTCCTGGTGCTGCACAGACTCCCAGCACCCTGCCTGGTTTCCGGACCAAAGCCTGGATGTCTGGAGCTCTGTTCCTCTTTGTCCTTCCTCCAGGTCTTTGCTCTTCCATATCTCCACCTGTAAGGTATTCTTCCCAAACTGTGCCTTCAGTTATACACAAGACACTCTGAAAGAAGTCTGCAGATTCACATGAGATAGGAATCGGGAAGCACTCTGTCTCAGGTGTCAAGTGTCCTCTGAATTTCCCTTCTGAATTGCAACATAAGCATTTCTAGGACAAATAAAAACGACCAGGGTAACATGGCAATTTAAGAACCACAGGAACATTTAATAAAAATCCTGCATTAGCCCCTGAAGCTACTGAAAGCAGCATGCACAGGCCTCAGACTGTGAAGAATTTCTGCTACACAGAGAAGGGGTGGGGCAAGAAGAGAAAATACTACCAGTTCACCCTAATTCCTCTGGAAGGAGAGTGAAGGTGCAGAACAGCCCACCGAGTCCTTCCCAGCCCTGGTCCTGGAGGGAGGGCCAGCTTGGGAGCGGCGCCTGGAGGACATGCGGAGCACTCCTCCCACAAAAGGTCAGGAACACTGAGACATGACCATCTGAGGAGGCCAGGGTGGTTGATCTGAGGCACAAAGGACAGTAGCAAAAAGCCACAGGACACGCCTAAAATGGATAATGACCAAGCAAAACAGACCCCCAAAGCCAGCTCCCACATACCACCTGCGCCAAACAGAGAAAAAACTGGACACTGGTGAATTCCTCGCTGGCACCTCTTCTGCTGCATTTCTTTCAGCGCCTGTATCTCTGACATTCAGCAGAGATTTACCTTAAAGAGCCTCTCCTCTAGCTTAAGATACAAGAAGATTTCAAGAATGGTTGGGCAGGGTGAGCACAGATGATGGTAGAATCCAGACACTGATCCTGGGCAGAGAACAGGTCCTGACACATTTGGATCCACTGAAGCAGGAATAAGAGATGGGCAAAAACAGGCCATGACGCACAGACAGATCTCATGGCGTAAGATGAAGAGACTCACTGCATGTGAGGGAGAACAGATGTGTAAACAAAGGACAAGAAACGGACTCAGACACTGAAAAGCCTCTGCCGTGAGAATGCAATAAAACCAAGAGAATAAACAAAAGATGACAATGTAAAATGAAAGGCTGAGTGTTATTAGCAATCTCGTAAGGTCAGGAAAATATTTTCTTTTTTTTTTTTTAGGAAAATATTTTCAAGGGGAACCAACTTAAGAGAAAAAGGAACAAGGGCATATTAGCAAAGTCTTTCTGAAAATGGATGAACTGAATGATGTCAATGTGGGATTTCAGTTCCATGGGCGAACACTGCTGACACTGACTGCCTTCCAGGATGCTACCAGAGGGGTTTAATACTTCCATTTTATTATCAGTTCACCTAAATAATACTTTACAATTAAGAAGAAATCCAATACAGTCAATCACCAAATCATCTGTTCTTAGATTTCAACAAGACAACTCTGGACCTCAAATCCCATGTACTGCATTTTCCGATACTTCAAAATTTTTAATTAAAAACTTATTCATGCAAAATTAGTATCTTTGCTCCA